CCTAAGTACTACATGTAGCGCTGACACATGCTGCGAATGGTGCACAGGTCTTAGTGTGCGTACTTGTATGCATAGCGAGTATGTACTACGTATAGATAGATACCTACATTCCCGAGTACCTTTTAGCTAGGTAGGTTAGATACACATGTAGCTTTACATACCTAGGTAGGTAGTGCGCCGTTATTGTACTGCGGGAAACGGAACGCCCAGGGCTGCATGCTTCAGGGGCAAAGCGGTACATACACGAGCGTTCATCCCTGTTCTGTTAAGGTACCGGGCAATTGGCAATTGGCAATTGGCAAATAGGATTACAGCCACTAAATGTCTAGCAGCATAGTACGCGTTATATATGCACTGTCCCTCATACCGTATGTCCCGAGCTTACCTAATTTCATAAGCCTTATGTAACACCGGCTGACTGGGCTTGATTGTCTGGCCAGTTGATAATAAATCTACTCGGCTGCTCGGTACACATCAACCGGTTACAGAAGATGACAAAGTTGCGAGTAGGTGCTCAATACGTCTCGACATGATACAGTCTTTACGAAGGTTATATAGTAGGTATCATAGCCTAAGGGATTTTGATAAGTTGAAGGTAGGTACCGCTGCCTAGTCACTCTGCGAAGCCCCGATACGCGGGTGGTTTCATCAAACCGTTTCTCTAATACCCTCATGTTTTCAACCATTCGACTGCCCTTCGTTTCGCCCTATCATCTACAACTGACTTGAAACAACATCCGCGCCCTATTCCTCCTCGAAACTCCAACAACTTGACAAATCGGATAAGTAGCACTATCCATCTCTCTCCTACACTCTACTCTCTAGACTGCCGTTAAACATACATTCCATCTCGAGAACTACGAGCGATGACAGAAATGACGTAACTGTCTACCTCGCAGGACCTCCTCAATAAGGCTTAGTCGATACGCCAGTGAGCTTGCTATCTCATCGTTGATTGGTGCTACAGGAACCTTTCCATGTCTTGCACCATTACCTTGTGAACCTGCGACGACCTAGGCATCCCAGTTAAAAGCACATCCACTACGTGTGTGGCTTCTTTTGGTAGCTACGCTCACTTGTGGCATACCAGCAGTCCTCATCAGCAGGTAGACAGCCGTACTGTTCCCGATGAGCTTGCACATCCACTTGATCATATAACTCGCAGAAGGACTTAGTATCTTTGATACCATATTTCGCAAGTTCATCGAGTACACTACAAGAAGCTATTTGCATCATATATCATCATCTCAGCTCTGTTATACCTGACGGCAAAGTCTTGGTTATGACGAACAAGAGCCTCATCCCACCATTGAATCGGTCTTTTTAGGTAAGCGTTCCCATGGCTGACAACGTTGGCCGGCGTTCAGTCCAGTGGAGGTAAGTTGGTAAGCATGAAGCTCCGATAGCCTGCGTCGTATAATGGTGGACGCTCTGCTCAAATATGGCGCTAATTAACCGGCTGTAGAAGTTCGGAAATGGCACGTTGCTTAACTCTGCCGACTCATTCATATCATTTATACCAGTCCAGATAGCCACCAGCATGTTATATTTTCCTACTATTTAATTAAGTCAGTGAATAGCTATTCACGTATATTCTCTGTTCTCGTCTGCTCCGCTGCCAAACCTAACGAGGTATCGACATGAAATAGATGGGGGTGGGGGGGGGGGGGGGGAAGAATAGTATGGTCTCTCACTTCTTACCTCCTAAGGAGGAGGAGGAGAGCAAAAATAATGGTCAGTATGAGGATTGAACTCATGACCTTCGCATTACTTGATACAACTTGCATTGTATTAGTACGACGCTCTAACCAGCTGAGCTAACCGACCGACCATGTTGGTTGAACGACCGCCGTTTTTTTTGCACCATCTACCCTACACACCGACATCCCGTCTGTATAGCCCTGCTCACGCTAAGCCCAATCTCGCATACAACATGTAACCAACATGTAACTTTTGGCAATTTCGTCTGGGAAGTAAAGAAAGGCCTGTCAAGCGCGGGGAAGAGATGGTGTATTAGGGATAGAGGTCCTAGCAGTGTAACTACTGTTCGAAGATCTTTATGCCACTGTCCTCCGTACCTACCCACATATTGCCAAACCTTCCTCGCAACGAGCACCGACGCACCAACCATTAGACCCTACCATATCACGAACCGAACTGAACGAACCGAATAAACAATGTTCATCGTCGATTTACCCTCGTAATCCCAGACAAGGCCCAGATCTCCGGCCATCGACGTACGACGAGTAGACGGCACCTCCTACATAAGCGCGGCAATAGGATAATGGAATAGTCCCTCGGTTTTTCCCGACAACAAACTGATAAAGAATCAAATAACAAAGAGGTGGTCTGTACTCCGTACAGTGTGGGAATTCTCCGTCGTGCCGTACAAAGTAGTTGGCGAAGCGTATGTAAGCAGGTCGAAAGGATTATCCGTACCGAATCGGCGAGGAGGTCGAGGGGATATCTCTATGATTAGGCTTTATTTCGAACCTCTATAGTAACGGGGAAAATTTCTATGATTAGGATTATGCCGAGGTAAATATATTCTTCGTTTCCATGATAGGAAAATACAAGACTAAACACGAAGGCTGCGAGCCCTTACCAATACGTCAAGGTCGGAAATGATGATATATTAGGGATGGTGGTCTCTCCACTACTCTAGGTTCGAGAGACAAATGTAGCACTACCGTAATAAACAAGTTACCGTACGTGGCCTGGATCCCACTGGAGTCGTTGAAAAGCACATATTTGCCAACAACGACACAACCCAACAGCTTGGCCACTACCGAAGCGGCCCTTAACATCCCCTAGTCATACGATGGACCTCTTGAGGGCATAGACTTGTGTTGATTCATACATTTATCATAGCGTTATGGATATACCTGACACGGTACAACACGTTCGCGAGCATGGACGCCTCGGACTGTTTTAATACTATGCTCAAGCATCATCTCAGTGATGGACGCACCCTGGATCCCGTCGGTTATCGAACACTGGGTTATCAACACGCCAGTCGGCAGTGCCTCCGAACAAAGTCCAGATATCACAACACTTCTTTCAGGTGAGGTTACTACTCGTCGGTTTAGAGAGGTAGCTGCTAGCCGATTGGAATAGCACGAGTTCTTCTCACTCGTCAGTCTCTTCCAGAGCCGAAATCGCCAACCAGCCTTCAAGAACAAGGATCTCGCTACCATCCTAGCTGACAAACTAGAAGCCTTCTACACCACGAAGACAACACTTTCGAATCGGGATTGCACACGGTTGGCTACGGCCTCGGGCCGTGAGTATTCTGATATTGGACTCATTATCCATGTTGCGAGCCACGATGGACGCGCCGCTGCATTCTGGGACACTAATTCACCTACTATCCAGCTCCTTCGCGGCAAAGGCTTAAGGGACGGTATGCTGAATACGCAAGTGACCGCCGTAAACCATAATTCTCGACAGCAAGTTTAGGGAACTCGAAAAGTTTCACTACCATTTCTCTATCGACGTTGCCAAAACTCTGCCTCTGCCATTTCTTGTCGTTGCTGGTGCTTGTCTGACCAAGTTGTACACAAGTCCCTAGACAAATCGGTCAGGCTCGTGGAGATCATGCTTGCTCCACCTGGTGGGAAGCTCAGAGTTTGGCTGGAGTTCAACATGGGAGGTCAACATCTGAAAACGTTCACACTACTCCTTGATCACCCGGCAGCTACATACTACGCAAAGCCAACCCTTGTCCGCAGGAGCACTTTATGCCTCGACGCTTGACTCAACATGATATCTCAGCTACCCGACAAGAAATACCCACTTGATCCCATCTGCCACTATGCTCGCTGGACGTCTGGTAAGTTCGAATATAGCCTGAAAGGAGCGCCACTGGCAGAGTTGCATACATGCAGGATACAAGAATTAAAGCGTGGCAAGCAGTCGACAATCGTCATTACTCTGCTTCATTCCTGCAATGGGCCAAAAGATACTTAGGAGAGGATTAAACTTCGATCTTGTAGCAGGGCTCATCGCTCGCCAACGTCATTCAGGACAGGATTAGTGCTAAGATCAGCCATAAGAGTCGGAGTCGGAGGAGAAATGCGGCGAGCCGATACTCTGAAGACAAAACGCTCAAAGCCGCCAACGAACAAGACAGGACAACATATGTTGCTCCGACTACTGCTCGAAGCATCCAGCAGTCCAGCCAACCCCAATCTGCAGATAGTTCGGATCTAGGCTCTGCCGCATTGAGCTTTACCCCAGACGAGATAGAGCAGTCTCTTCAATGGTTAATCCAAACTGTTGACAGTGCGCAGGGGCAGACGGATATGAGCAACCCTTTTGAGCATCTCTCCCCCCTCCATATACTGTCAATGGAGTATGAGATGGCCGTTGCTGAAGCGCTTTATGCGCAACGGCTCCAGAACCTCAACACAGCCCTTCCTAGGAACGGGCGGTGCAAGAGGAACTCAATAATTGACAACTCTTCAACAGTCAAGCTCCACGGTATTCGTAAGAGATATGGTGTGTCGATCAGACCGAGGGGGCGGAAATGCTCACGTGCATCGACAATGCCTAATAATTACCCAAGTGCTACAAAAGGAACATCACAGCCCACGAGCCACCAGCCTCTTCAGACTGTCATCACAATCAGTCCTTCCGGTCCCAAGAGCATCACGATTTCGACGACATCCGTGGATAAAGCCCGTCGAACAAGGCGCAATTTGCAGGACTGGCAGAGAACGCTCCTGCGTGGTGAAACCTTTCAATGTCTCGGCGCACGGCATCCATATACAGTACCAAAAGCCTAAGACGGGTTCGCGCCAGACCCAAACGCAGTGGGCCACGGCTACTAGGACCAAGAACGCGAGGAAAGCTAATTCCTTGGTTGAATTTCTCGGGAACCGAAGCGTCGATCTTACCGGGAATCCGCTCCATGCACTTGGTGAGATCTCAGACAGAGGCTAGAACAAAGAGGCACGGCAAGCAAAAGGAACAACAACAGAGAGGGCAAAAATGAACCGTGGTCAGTATGAGGGTTGAACTCATGACCTTCGCATTACTTGATACAACTTGCATTGTATTAGTACGACGCTCTAACCAACTGAGCTAACCGACCGTTGAGTGCTACCCACGCGAGATTTGTATTATATACCTGACTTTGCTTGGGTGTAGCAATAGGGCCTTTGTCCAGTCTGCAGGAGCCGCCTAAACATCGAAGGTATAGGTACTACAAGTTCCACGCATTCTGCTCTGTCGAAGGAGCTCTGTGGTAATAAGGCAGTGGAAGACCGCAATCTACGCTGAGACGGACTCGGGGTATGCCGTCGTCGGGACTGTTCTCGACACTGATGAGCCCTCTCCAACATCGGCCGAAAGTTCGGGGACGGAAACATCGACTGGAAGCTCGGGGACAGAAACAGCCACGAGCACTAGCAGCAACGACGCTGGCTCGACAACTTCTTCCGCCTCATGACCCAAAGACACTTTGGGTGAATCGGACGAAGACGACACTGGGGCGAAGGCTGGCATAGGGGTCAGTCGGAGCAGCCGTCGGTGCGGTCCTCATCATCACCGTCATATACCTTGGGTACAAATACTATAAGCATCGCAAAGCGAAGCACGCTCCAGAGAATGCTCGGGGGCACGTATACAACGCGCAAGTGTATATATGACCAGATGCATATGCACCCGGGATACTAGCCAGTGGCGTCGAAATACAGCCCTGGACCACCACAGGAGCTGCCCGGGCACCCGGCAGAGACTCGTCAGTCAGAGCTTTTATGCATCTTTGTTATTACTTGAGCAGGAGTATGGCCCGTTGCAAGCTTCTATAATGAGCTGGAGAATCGAGAACATCATAAGTTGAGCATCCACCTATAACCCTAACCCAAGGCCTCATATAAGGGTCCCCAAACTGGTATACTCCACGGCTAGTGCTATATGTCCAAGTGCCAGGAACTGAGCATCTCGTAACTCTGCTAGAAGTATAAGGCACCAAAGCTTCGTAACATTTGGTACATTGACTATCCCACCAGTGTCGAGCATGCGAGGCTCTCAACAGAGATTAAGCAATCCATGATTATTGGGTTTGTATAGTGAACGATAGTTCGTGCCTGACTAAATATTAGAGAAGATTACCATACACCCCAAGAAACGAATGCATAAGACCAAGCATAAGACATTCATTCTCAGACTATACGATATATACAGTCATATTCTGTATAATTAAGCATATACATCCCGGTAGCAGACGTGATGTCTGCCGCTGCTACCTCACAAGACGTATTCAGCACAGCTGACCAAATGCTGATATAACAGCGTCCCTAGCCATTGAGCCCCTGCATCATAACATTATAACATGCAAATCCGTGCAAAACCCAGCTTAGAGAAGCCTGACACGATATCCTTGGCAAGTTTCCCAGACTGGAGATGGTGGGCTCGGTACCTAGCTCTGATAGACCAAAGTATCTGCCGAATAGCTGGGATGGGACGTTGGGGTAGCTCATTAGAAATAAGAGGATATCCTTCTCACTGAACTTTGCATTTGCCCAACTTTTCTCCCTTGGCCTCTCTAGTAGGAATTATATGAAAAATTATCTAAACTATGGCGATGTCTCGTGGCTCTGAAGACCGTCCCGAGAAGCTCGAGCTCGAGCTTGACTCTCAGGTACAGCGTACCGAAACGGCTGAAGATGCCGATTTCAGACGTCGCGAACTCCGCGTCGTCGCAAAACTCGATCTCTACATTTGCCCGATTCTCATCGTCCTCCAGCTCATATCATTTCTGGACCGAGGCAATATCGGATTCGCAGCGACGCAGGGTATGATTGGTGACTTGCATCTTGTCGGCACTCAGGTCAACACAGCCATATCGCTTTTTTATCCACTGTATATCCTTGCGGAGTTTCCGGCTGCACTCATCGTGAAACGGGTGGGCTTCAATCTTGTCATTCCGACGGCCACACTATGCTGGGGTATCGCGTGTCTAGGCAATGGATTCGTAAAGAACTTTGCCGAACTCACTGCGTGCCGTCTGTTGTTGGGCATGTTTGAAGCTTTTTTGTTCCCCAGTCTGACGCTCATGTTGGCAAATTGGTATAAAAGGGACGAGATTGGGTTGAGGATTAGTTATCTGTTTGGTAAGATACCGCTAGGGCGCAAGGTAACAAAACTAAGAGCACAAAGTCTAATCGGGAATCTAGTCGCCTCAGCTATGTCAAGTGCGTTCGGTGGGTTGATTGCGTTTGGTATTCTACACATGGAGTGCGTATTCTAGTTCTTTCTTCATGCTCCTCTTGCAGTTCGTCTCAGCAGTCGCATACACGTATTTGGGGTTACTCAAGGGTTGGGGCTTCTGAGACGTGACCAAGAACTCCAGAAACTACCACAAATAGGTATTCAATACAGCTGACTCTAGCTTGCGTATAGAGGGATAGCAGGGTACCCAGGTTGGAGATGGTGAGTTAGTCTCCAGAAGTAGGCGGATTTTGATATATGCTAAACTAAAGTTACCAGGCTGTATATTATAGAGGGCGCCATAACTGTTGTCATTGCGGTTCTCTGCTACTTCGTCATCCCGTCGTCTTATATGACTGCCTATTTTCTCGACGAAGACGACCGAGCAATAATGAGGCTACGTGCCGAGCTAACTGAAGCCTATAACGGGGGGCGAGGGCATTATACTCGGTCTGAGTTTATAATGGCTATTATGGATATCAAGACCTGGCTACACACCATCGTTCAAGTCATGTCTTTGACTGTTTTATACGGGTTTAGCGTCTTCCTGCCTATCATTCTACGCTTCGGTTTCAACTACAGTGTCGAACAATCACAGTATCTCAGCATCCCCGTTTTCTTCTGGGGGTCCATTGTCTACGGTGTATGCGGTTACCTATCAGATCGGTATACACGTCGGTTCCTAGCCTGCATTCTCGGCGCCCCGCTCGGCATGGTCGGCTATGCCGTTTTACTCGGCGACAACCATGTGGCAGTTGGGGTAAAATATTTTGCATGCTTCCTAATAGCTTCCTGTGCTTGGATGCTCGGTGGAGCAAATCTAGCCTGGTTTTCTACCAACACCGCACCTGACGGCAAGCGAGCGGCCTCTATTGGGCTGGGTCTGTCGCTAGGAAACGTGGGTGGCATTATCTCGGGACAGATTTATCCACAGACCCATGCGCCGGCATATACACTAGGACACGCATGGAGCCTTGGGGCGATAGCACTATGCTTTTGTCTGTGGTGGGTGCTTAGACACATTTATTACAAGCGCGAGGCACTCAAGGAACGGATGGGGGAAGTGTCCGTGCTAGATCCGGGGTGCTTCTCTGACAGGTCTCCAAGTTACAAGTACGAACATTGATGTGCTCGTACAATGTCACGGTTTAATGGATACCTATTGACCGAGATGCAGCACAGCATGCGAAACTACCGGAGTGCCGCGTTGATTATTGGCTTCTTATTTCAAGAAAAGTCGTGATGAGAGATGCTCTGCAATTATACACGAACTAGTCTAGACTCCTTGACCCCTTTAGCATTAAGGATAGTTTCGACTTGAAGCCTGGAGGGCTGCTTTCATATACCATGAAATAGCTATAGATGTCCACACAAATGTTGGACAAGGCCCAATCTGGTGTTATATTTTGATTCTATATATAATGCAGGGATCGCTCTACTGCCATACGGGCCTCACTAATCCCATGGGATGTTCGCCTTAGAGATCCTTCTGTGAACCTCTTTTCACAGGAGTCTGAGTATACCAGCCTACACATCACGAAAATGTATGTACACGCATACCTAGAGCTTAGCTTCGATATTACACGTGGCTACGCCCTTACCGGCGCCAACCAGCCACGCTTGCCTTCCTCCCGAGTTCTTCTAGCACTGGTATCTATGACAGGTAATATTGGTTATACGCATTGGCATTTCAAGAGCACAAGTTTTTGGAATGTTGATATATTACTGTAGGTATACGACGTAACTGGTATGCTTTTAAAAGGAGAATTGTCACACTTACAACTAAAGGGATAGCGCGCAGCTCTAAATAGGAGGTCTTGAATTGACTATTATAAGCTCTAAGGAGCAGGAAAAACCAGTTGTGTATAAGGAGGCCTAGGGCACCTAGTAATACCCTAATGGAGCTTCCGGATCGGCGTAACTATTAATCCGTATAAACCCTTATAATAGCCCCTATAACAACCTTTAAGCCTGGCTTTATGACAAGAATATTATAGTTCACATTAGCTTTAAAATAAATTAATACCTTAGTCATTATTTCATCACAGTTAGGGCCCCATAGGAAGAAAATAATAACTGCGGTTAAGTTGTGTTAAGATAGACGCAGGTTATAGATATCGTAGTAGATACTATCGGGGAAGTATCATCTCTAGAGTCCTCGAGGGCATAGCCTATACCATATAGAGCCACAGCTTACGGGGCGTATACCAGCCACCTGAACTATCAGTCACACATCACTGTAATCCGACAAATCAATTTGTCGTTGGAGTCTATGAAAATAAATATTGTAGCTGGCAGTGCGAGTTGACGCTAACAAGACTCGGGCTCTCTCCAACCTACACACGTCTTCCCAGACATTTTTCAAAGGAATATATATGCATGTGAATGTACACTAACGGCTCCCCTGTTAGTCCAATGTGTGCATCTGCCCGACTGTTATAGCCGATATACCGAATCCCTACTTGTCTTTACCTTGGGATTTGGCACATGCAGCCACCTACTGCCTTGGGTGAAATGATATCATGTTGCCCCCATTCATTAAGTTAAGTCTCTTAAAGGCGGAATGATCATTGTATCATAAATCACTTGTTGGCATTTACCTCCACTGCCTTATATAGAATGATTAGGGATTAGTCTACTTGAGTACATACCACTATTGCTGTCTATAGACAGAATCTGCTGTATTATAAAGATAGCTAATAAATGCTATACTTTGTCAGTATCGGATATATACATGAATTAAGAAGAAAATAGTTTATTGCAATACTTTACCGATAAAAACAGAACATCTCATCTAATTATATAAGCACCAATATGTTCCAACTTTAGGGTTCTAGGGCTCAGGCCATGTAACAGGGGTTGTCCCATCGCTCCATTTAG